TGAAACCATACCCCTGCTCCCCTCTTGCTGCTGGTCTGTCCTGCTCTTCTCCCTCCCACACAGGGAAGGGCATCCCCTCTGCAAACTTGCCCCCAAATACCTGCTTCAATTCCATTTCCAGGGAGCTCAACAGTGGGGCTTGTACTTTCTTTTTCTTTTCCTGGGGATTGAACCCAGGGGTGCTTTACCACTGACTGCACCTCCAGCCCTTTTTTATTTTTTATTTTGAGACAAGATCTCACTAAGTTGCTGAGGTTGGCCTTAAACTTGCCATTTCCTGCGTCAGCCTCCTGAGTTGCTGGGAATACAGGCATGTGCCACCATACTGAGGAGCTTGTGTTTTCTAAGAGGGCCCTGAATATGTCCTCTCTCTTGTGCTTTTCTACACCAGGACCCTGATGCTCTTCCTTGAGAGGTCAGGTCTAGGCCCCTCCCTGAAATCTGGGCAGGCTGGGGACTTGCTTGTAACCATAGGGCTTGGGGGAAATGCTGCTGTGTGATGTCTGAGGGACACTTACCAAGACACTTCCTTGCTGACTGGAATTCCCAGCCCTGCAGCCTTGGCTTTTCCGCCTGGAGGCTGCCATCTTGTAAGGAAGCTCAGCTGGCCTGCATAAGGAGACGCCTGGCCAGCGCACATTCAAATTCCCCAGGTAAACCTTTCTCAAATTCCTGACCCACAGAAACTGTAAGAGATAATACAGGTGATTGCTCTTGCTTAGGTTACTAAGCCTTGGTCTTATTTATTGTTCACTCACAGTGAGTCTACACTGACCTTGGATGAGGGCAGCCTCCCCATCATCTTGAGGTACACAGACAAGGAAAGGCTTCCTGAAGATGGCGGACACTGTGTCCTGCCCTGTTATCAGTAGTGTGTCTTCCTGCCTGTTACTATTTCTCTCCTGCAGCATTACCAGGCAGGGCTCTCAGGGATGGAGCCCAATATATCTCTTCTTTCTTCTCTAGCAAACCATTCTACCCCTCTAACCTCCCTGGTCTTGTAGTATCTGGGAGAGAAGCTTCCAGAACAACAGGTGCCTCTGTGGATTCCAGTGGAGGGAGGTGGTAGAGCTGGTTGAAGGTCATTCTCCCCTGATGGAAACCCTAGAAGCATGCCCATTTCCCGGGGGATAGAAACTTGTCTGGATTTCCTCTCAAATCCAGAGGAAATCCAGCTGCCTGTCTCTCCAACCTGCTGGAGCGGGTAGCAGGTGCTTATCCTGTAGGTGTATCTCCAAAAGAGGAGCTGGAGTGTTCCAGGATGTGGTGGGGCGGGAGACCATGTGGGTTTTGGTTGGAGTGCTCAGAAGATGAAATGCAATTTGAAGTATTGTCACGCATTCCAAAGCCCTGAAAGGCTGCCTGCTCCTTGGTCCTCAGTCTTCCTCAGCTACCTGGAGGACCTGCAGCAGGGGACAGTGATACTCTGCTACCCAGGGGGCTGGGCTAAAGAATGGTGGGGAGAAGGTGGCTGGGGAGCAAGATGAGGAAGGAGTGATGGGGACAGGGAATGACTGGCATGGGGGATGGGGGAGGACAAGCAGGGAACAGTGAAGAAAGCAGAGGTAGTGGAGGAAGTTGGGGCAGCTGGTGGGTAGCAGAGAATGGCTTTGGGGAAATTCTAATGCTTTTGAAATCATCCCAACTTTGATGCATATAGCTACAGGATGATACCAGATTTTGCATAATTATGAGATGTGGTAGGAGTTGTTTGTTTAGGCTTTTTTTCATTTCTTTTTCTCCTGAGCAAATGCCAGAAATTCTATTGCATTTTAGGTTTTCAGGTCCTTTGACAATCCAGTGGGAGCTGAGCCCTTCCTTGTTCAAGGGAGAGAAAAAACCCACAAAATGATATTGGCCAAGTTGTATCGTCATACCTTGTGCATGTACAAATATGTAACAACAAATCCACCATCATGTACAACTATGATGCACTAATAAAAATACGGGGTAAAAAAGAGAAATCACAGAAAAGAACACACAACACACAAATCTGAAACCAGTTTCAGCCAGTTTGTGGCTGCCCCTTCACGTCCATGCGAGAAGCCGGAGAGCCCAACGTGGAAGGGGATTAAATAAGGTGGGGAGGAAGATGCTGGCAGAAGCCCCCTGACTTAGCCCCAGGGCCTCACAGGGGGGCAGCCGCAGGGAACAGCCCCACCCCAGCTGAGTTTATGGATGGCATAGAGCTGGAATAGGCTGTCTCTAGCTGCCCAGTGATAGTGGAAAGTCTCCAACGTGCAGGGGCCAGTGTGATTTCTGATGGACCCTGGAGCAGAACCAGTTTTAACTGCCCTTAAACAAGGAGAACAAATGGAATCCCGGCTCTGGACAAATTGGGACGGTTAAAATTAGTTCTCTTCTGACTTTGGCTGTCTTTTGGGAATCCAGAAAATTCACATCTACCGACAGGAAACAGGGCAGGAACGGCCACGCCCCACAGCCTAACTACCTTGGGGACTCTGGAGAGGGCCCAGGGAGGACAACCTGGACCTCACGACATCCCTCCTGGGGGTGACCTGGAAGTGGCTGCTCACAGAGCCGTGATTTCGGGGCATTGGCAGCAGCATTTCTGCATTTGAAGTTGCAGAATGAAATGCCCTTCCAGAGAGCAAAATCCCCAACCAAAGTCAGAGCCCTGATTTTGGTTCCTTAACCATTTGTGGGGAAATTTTTTAGTTTGCCTCACATTCAAAAAGAAACAGCAAGGGAGGAAAGGCCATTTCCTGTGACTGGTCCTCCGAGGCAGCAAACCCAGGCTTCATCCTGAGTGTTCCCTGAGTGCCTCGCAGCGCCTTGCCTCCACCAGCAACTTCACGGTGGCACCGCGTGAGTCCTGCCAGTGGATCTTCACTAAGCAGGCGGTACCCATCACTATCCTCCAAAAGAGGGGGCGTACCTCACTGCAGGGGTTCAGGAGCACACCCAGACATCTGGCCACAGGCCCAGGGTCACAGAGCACCCTGTGTATGTCCCGACCAGTTCTTTTTCCCTTTGTGACCTAAGTCCCCTTCCAAGAGCTCTGAGCCTGCAGACCTAGGACACGTGATGTGGCTGGTGTTTAGAAAACTCTTGCTCAGCCTGTCATCCCAGGGGCCTGCACATGGGCAGCATTTGATTTCCTTCTGAAACAGGCTCATTCAGATCCCTGTTGAGATACTGGAGGGATATTCAAACTTGATGATTGAGAAATCACATGCAGTGACATCACACATGGAACTGAATGTTTTAGAACTACTGATTAGCCACAGGGGTGTGTTGGGAATCTGAATTTATGAATCTGCTGTTTTTTTTTTTTTTTTGGTAGGGAAATTGAACTCCAGAAACATTTCGCCACTGAGCCACATCCCCAGCTCTTTTTAAAAATTTTTTTATTTTGAGACAGGGTCTCATTAAGTAGTATAGGGCCTCGCTAAATCACTGAGATTGGCTTACAATCTTCCCTCCTCAAGTTCCTGAGTTGCTGGAATTATAGTGTGCACCACCAAGCAGGGCTGATTTTTTTTTTTTTTTTACTCTTTCTACCCAAGGCAGAGAAGAGAGGGGGTCCACCACTTAGAGGGGTGCTGAGTCCCTTTAGGCCTCCAGATTAGAAACCATACCCAAAGAGGTGCTGGCCTGGGAGGGAGTGGCTTTCTCGGATCCAGAGCCTGGAAGGTCTGGCTGGACTCAGTCTGTTGCCTACTCACCAGGCCTTTGGCTGCTCTGGAGTTTGGGAATTCTAGTTATAACTGAGTTTATTAACTGGCATTCACATGCTGCAAGTGATTAAAGCACGAAGACAACTGCACTTCCCTGAGTGTCACCCAGGGGGAGAACGCAGCTGGCTGTGTGGCAGCTCACAGGGCTCCACAGTGATTCCTGGGGTGTGGGCAGAGACCTGGCCTCTGGTGTCTTTGGTGTATATGCTCAGTGGTGAGGCTGAGGGTGGCCAAGACCCCAATCTTCAACGGCTGTCCAAAGCCACCTATTTAATGGAGGAGCTGTGGTCATTATGGTCATGGCACAGAGAGTGAAAGACAAGTCCTGTGGCCTCTCCCAGAGGGACTGCCTACCCTAACCCTCTCGCTTTGTTATGGGTATGGTTTGAGTTCACATGTTGAAACTTAACCCCCACTGTGAGGTGTTCAGAGGATGGAAAGGTGATCCAACTCTGGTGTTCAGAGGTGGGGCATTTGGAAGGTGACAGGTAAGGTAAGGTCAGAGGGGACCCCACAGTTGAATCCTGGCGGCTCTATAAGAAGAGACCAGAAGAGGCACATACTGCCTGTCTCTTGCCATTTGATATCCCGGGCCTCCTTAGGACAGCAAGGTGGTCATCAAGCACCTGGCTGCTTGACCTTATACTTCCAGAACCATGAGCCCAGACGAACCTCTTTTCTCTAAGATGTGCCCAGTCGGTGGTGTATGTTATTGGCAATAGAAAACACACTAGGACATCTCTTCCATGGAAATTCTGGAGCCCATCCTGGCTCAGAGCCAGCCCAGGCCAGAGCCCTGTGCCAGCAGCTGCTCCCTGTGATGCTTGACCAAGTGAACCTGGCCAAGAGAGATTTGGTTTGGGGTGGGTGGCCCACTCACCCAATCATCCAGCTGTGCACACACCGTTCAGCCAGATAAACTGGGGGCTGCCCAGGGCCTTCCTCATTGAGATTGACCAGGGTGTCCACTCTGTCCAGGCCATAAGCAGTCCTGGAGACAGCAAAATGGCTGTGAGAACAAAGCCTTCTGACAATGAAATGGGTCCTCTGGTGGCACCACTCAGGAGCACACATGCGAGTTTCCCCAACCCCCATTTATTTTTTAATTAATTTATTTTTTATTTTATTTTTTTAAAGAGAGAGAGAGAGAGAAGAGAGAATTTTTTAATATTTATTTTTCAGTTTTCGGTGGGCACAACATCTTTATTTTATTTTTATGTAGGGCTGAGGATCGAACCCAGTGACCTGCGCATGCCAGGCGAGCGTGTTACCACTTGAACCACATCCCCAGCCTCTTTTATTTATTTTAAATTATTTATTTAATCTAATTTGTTATATATGACGGCAGAATATAATTCATTTCATATTACATACATAGAGCACATTTCTCAAGTCTCTGATAGTACACCCCATTTATTTTTTTTGGATATGATAAAATGCATTAATCCTGATCCCACATTTCACCCCAGGGCATGTAGAACCTCCACCCTGCACCCAACATGGGAGCCAAGTGTGGACAGGCTAGAGCAAAACAACTTTTGTGCACCCTGTTTTACAAACTGTGTGTGCATCACAGCTGCCGTGTTGCCATGGGCACAGGAGCCTGCAGACTTCTTCTCCACAGCAAGGAACACATGGCAGCTCCAGAGGTACGTGACCTCCTTCCGTAGTGCACCGTCCACGTCTGAGAACACTCACACAGGGCCAGAGCACACCTGCCAAGCTACTGACCCTGACTCGGCGTGAAGAATGCTATTTTCTATTACATTTTTTAAGAAAAAGATGCTGGACACACCCGCTCAGCTGATTTTTCAGTCTATAAATGGATGGGAGATGCTGTTTGGAAAATGCTGCATCCTAGGTGATGGGCTGGTGACGGGCTGGTGATAGGCTGGTGATAGGCTGGTGCAGTTCTGACACCCTTTCATATCTGAAGTAGGGTCCAAGGGCCACTAGTTTCTTGGAAAGTGACTTTGAATGAATGGGTAGTGACCTGGCAATGGGTGGCCTCCTGCAAGTGTGGTAAGAAAGTGCTAGATCATGTCCTGATATCAGTTTAGTCACCTGAGGATATACACGATTTTTACCCACAGCAGCCGACTGGGGATGCCTGAGTTGAAACCATCCCTGGGTCCCACAGGAAGTTGGCTTGTCCTCTGTGTGACCACAGGATGGCCTCTGAAGGACCACCTGTGCTCTTCTGCTGGGTGAGTTGTAGCATTGCAAGGACATGCTGGCTGCAGGGTCCTCCCCAGCAAGGGCTCCTCCTCCTAGTGCAGCTCCTGTGGGGTGGGGCAGGCAGTGATATTTCCGCTCTACGAAAGGGGAAACCCGGGCCCAGGGAGGTCAGGTGCCTTCCTAAGATTTCACAGTTAGTCATGATTTGACTTCTGTTTTTTTCCATTCCTGGTCTCTAAATTTTCCCTCTTGAAGCCGGGTGTGGTGGCACATGCTGTAATCCCAGAGGCTCAGGAGGCTGGGGCAGGAGGATCACAAGCTCAAAGCCAGCCTCAGCAATTTTTCGAGGCCCTGAGGAACTTAGCAAGATCCTGTCTCAAAATAAAATATAAAAAAGGCTAGAGATGTGGCTCAGTGGTTAAGCACGCAGTACCCAAACCAACCAAACAAAAAATAATTAAAATAAAATTCTCTTTCTCTAGAGAATTCCTTGTTGTTTTATCTTTCCTAGGAAGATCTTCACCGTGATATTTTGGGGCCCTTAGCAAGAAGGGCTGGGCCTTGTCCTGTGGCATCCTGCAGCTTGAGGCATGAGGCTGCCACCTCAGGTAGGGCCATTTGGAGGTGGATGAGGGGGATCTTGGCAATGCAGCTTTCATCCAGAATCTCAGCGGCCCAGGCCTGGAGGGAAGAGAGGGAACAAGGAGTACAGACACCTGGGCAAACGGTGTTCTGGGCAGAGGGAACAGACTGGGCAATGGCCCTGAGGACCAGTCAGCCTGCAAGGGCCCTGGAGGCAAGGACAGCAGAGCAGGTGAGTGAGGGGCATCACAGGACTTGAGCTGCCCAGTATGACTCCCTTGTTCCTGGAGATGAGTCCACTGAGGAAAACTTGGCAAAGGCTGTTCTGCAGGGACAGAGGTGCAGTGGCCAGAGCTGGCTTGGCCCATGGCTATGTGCCATGGGTTCTAAGATGTCCACCCATGGTTCCCTGAGTCCTCGTCTCTCCTTGGCTCTAAAATGTACTTCCTTTCAACTACTCTATGACATTTGGAGTTGAAATTGAAAAATACCTAACATGTATCCACTTAAAAACCAGATCCCAAAGGCCTACCAAGGAAGCCTCCTCCATGGGGATTAGAATGGTGACAGCCACTGGGTAAAGGGTCTGCCTCCCTCACTGCCTGCCCTCTGATTTGAAGGTGAAGATACCCAATGGTTTCTCAGTATCTCCAGGAATCCTAGACATTGGTCTTTTCGAAGGCTTGGGGTGTTTGTGTGTCAGTTGCTGCCCGAAGGCAATGCTGACATGTTAGAATAATTCATCTTTTTCAAACATTTTGTCTTTTTTTATTTTTATCTTTTTGTAGTTGTAGATGGACAGAATGCCTTTATTTTTTTTTTTTTTTAATGTGGTGCTAAGGATTGAACTTGGTGTCTCACACATGCAGGCAAGCATTCTGCCTCTGAGCTACCGCCCCACCCCATTTTGTTTTCTTAACCCAAGACTTAACTGGATCCCAAAACTTCCCCCTCCTTATTTCTCATGTGCAGAGAGCAGCAGTGCTCACCTTCTTGGATGCCCCTGGCTGCTGTGAACTGGGCCCTCCAGGGGGCTACTCTGGCAACACTGGCTTTTGTTTGCAGAGTGGAGAGGGTCAGATGAGAGCAGGGGGAAACAGAAGAGCCACCATGGGTCTGTGGGATGGGGAGAGCTCAGCGACAAGCATGGGATCTGAAGGAAGGCATAAGATGTTCATGATGAGGTTCAGGAGTTTTGCTGTATGGGCTTGGTACAAATCCTCTTCCCTTCCCCCAAGGACATCTCCAGTGAAAGATCCCTTTTTCTCAGGAGCATGGTAGAGTTTGAATAATTTTCAAAGTGTTAAAGGTTGAGGTAGGTGTGGGGCTTCAGTCAGAACTGCCTGTGGGACTTGGCTACACCCAAGACTTGAGTTTTCTGGAAGATTTTTGAAATTTCCAGAGATGGGAGTATGTCTATGAATGTGCATGCACATAAGTCCCAGAAAAGGTTTCAAAAACAAGGATACCTTTGTCTCCTGGAGTGGCCTATAGAGATGAGAGAAAATCCGAATTGTTTTCTGTGGCCGGGTCCCTAAACCTCCCACCTTCCCTCCCCGTTTCCTTAGCACTCACAAAACCCACCCTTGGCTTGCTCTGCCTCTCTGTGCCCTATCTTCTCTGCAATGTTCTTTACCTTCCTGACCAGAGAAGGGTCCTGTCCCAGTAGGCTGTTTCTCTGCTGGTGCACCTCCACTGTGCCAGGTCCACTTGAAGCACAGGGATGGGCAGGGATGGGGTGGCTGGAGTCTTTGGCTTCTCAGGGCAGCCACTGCTGGGTACATCCTGGTGGAGCTGGAGAGAGAGGGGTGCCTTGATGCCACAACCATCCATCCCCCAGGGCCCCTGCTATCACCAGCAGCAGTTCTTACAGTCTAAAGTGTGTTTTTGAACATCGGATCATAAGTCAACAGTAAGTTTATAGGGTCATGACTGGCATTAAAAAAAGAAGATATCAGAGTGTATCACATGTTTAGGGGGAAGTACTATTAGGCATATCTGCCTGTGAAATATGCTCCATACTTTTGAAAGCCACTTGTCTGAACAATTCCTGTATCTGTGATTTGGGGAAGATGTGTAATGCTATAGCAAGAGAGAAGCTGTCAGCCAGTGACAGCCCAAGTTGGATGCAGTGGCTGGTGGGTTTTGCATTGGGAGCTATCATTCAAGGCCCTGGTCATCCTATTCCAGGGGAGGCTTGATGGACCAGGTTCATGGGCCAGAAGCCCCTACTACAATAGTGAATGGTGTTTCCTCCTCTCTGAAAACCAAACAGAATATGCCATGCTTCATAAATCCCTGTGAGAAATTTCTTTGTTCAGAAATGATGTCGGCTTGTTGTTGAGGGTTGCCATAGGAAACAGGGAGCTCTGTCTTGGAAATGCAAGGAGGCAAGCCCTGTGATTGGCTCCCCTTGCTGCCCATCACACTGCCGCCCAACCCAACTTCAGCCAGAATCCTGCCGCCTGCCCCCCCCCTCAAAAAAAAAAAGTAGTGGTCTTACTTGGGACAAAACTTCTTTGTGGTGTTCCCCAATTCCCCAAAGCAGGGGATCCAGGATTGCCCATATGACCGCAGAAGAAAAGGAAAAGGGGGATGGGAGTTGGGAGAGAAAGAGCAGGAGCCGGTCTCACCAGCAGAGGGCTCAACCGCGGGCGTAGCTGAGCCTCTTCACTCTGAATGTGGCTTACTCTGCTTCGGAAGAGAATGAAAGGAGCCGTAGATAACCCGATGATGGGTCTTTGAGACTTCTGCCTCGCGGCTTTTTTAAAAAAGAATTAAAAATAGTCCAGAGTCTTTCCTCATTTGGGTAGAATCTAAAAGCAGTTCCCTTATAAAACAATGTAAAGTGATAAGTGGGAGCAGATACTCGGAGTGACTGTGTCCCAGTAGGGTTGGGGACCTGGGAGGCGTAAGCAAATATGCAGAGGCCTGGGTTCCTAAGCCTTTGATGTCAAGGTCATTGCAACTGCGGGCAGGCAGGAAAGGACTTCCGAGAGAGGAAGGACAGTCCATCCGAGGACCTGTGTTTTATCAGAGGCCCAATTTGCATTAGTGGGATGGGCGAGGCTGGCCTGTCACCTTGGCATGGCTGCTTGGAGAACCTAGCATCTCTCTTGTTTAAACTAAGAGTGTGCCCTTGTGGCCCGGATGGGGGCGCCACTGGCGTGGCTTAGCCTGGCTAGCAAGGCCTTACTGTCAGTAGCGCAGAACAAGCACCTGTCAGGCTAATGCAGCCAGAGACAAGGTCCAGACTATCTGGGCCTCTGGAACATTACACGGGGCAAGATGTGTGGAGACGTACTAGACCTTCCTGCCTCCATGCACGTGAGTCACTGGAGAAACAAAAGAAGACTGGCTTAAGCTGGTCACACTGGTGGCAGCACTGGCCTAGGGATCTTTATAAGCTTTCTAGAAAAGTGAGAATGAAAGTCCATGCTGTTTCCTCAGCCTCCACTGGTCAATTCCAGTGATAGCCTGGTTCGTTAGTTGGCCAGGTCCTCACCCAATCCCATCTTGCCAAACCCCACGGGACAGTACTGGGGGCTTGGTGGTCCTCGACTGTTTCGGGACAGGGGGCCCCTGGAGAAACGGGAGCCCCTGGCCCTCGGGCTGGCCAGGAGAGGGGTGGGGAGGCAAGGTATCCACCAGCCTTGGAGCACCCTGTTCACCCTGGACGGAGACCCAGCTTCCTGGGTGTGGGAGAAGCCCAGGGAGCGCCCTCGGGCCAGACCCAAGTCCTGCCGGGCACTGAGGAGCACGGGCTGGAGGGCTGCAGCATCCCGGGCCACTGGGCCGCGAGCAAGTGCGAGGGGCGTGCGTGCGGGGACTATGGCCCGGAGCCAGGGTGCGCGCGCGCGCGCGTGCGGGCAGCGTGCCTGTGAGCACGTCCG